TAATGCCATAAGAAAATGAAGAGTATATAAAACTCTCCAGCAGCAGCCAAGGGAGGCACTGAAGGATGGAGAACAGCAAGACAAAGCAGATGAAGAAAATGCTAAGGAGAGAACAATCATAGAGGAAGCACCATGAAAAAGAGTCACAAGAGCAACAAAAGGAGAAGACACCCTGAAGCTCACTCATGTAAAATCACTTAACCCACACCCAATAAAAATAAAAGAAGACAAGAGTAATTGTAGCAGGAGACTTCCTACTGCATGAAATGTAAACTAATATCCCAGGAAGATCCGTGGATGTGCCAGATATGATGTCTCCCTGGATGATGGATTAGGGATGTGATAGGATTGACATAGCTCATAAAACCCATGAATGCATATCCCTTTCTTGTAGGATTGACATAGCTTATAAAACCCATGAATGCATATCCCTTTCTTCTCATCCATGTGGGAACAAATGGTACAGCCAAAAAGGAACAGAAAGGGGAATATGCTGGATGAATGACTGGCTACAAAAGTGGGGCTGATGTGAGGGATCTGGATTTTGGAACCGTGGGCTATGCTTCCTGGAAGATGAACTGCAAGTGATGGGTTGCACCTCAAGGACTGGGAAGAATGTTTGGCCACTGCATACCAAGTGATGGGTTGCACCTCAGAAGGACTGGGAAGAATGTTTGGCCACTGCATGAAGAATGTAATCAGGAGGGCTTTAAATTGAATTGTCAGTGGGGAGGGAGACATAAGCTCAGAGGTAAAGGTAGATGAAGGTCTATGTCCAATGAGAGAATCAGATTTAGCAGCTCTAATGGGGCCCAATAATAATCTTCATAAAAATGTATGATGGAAAGCAGACCACAAATCACACAATCTCCGGTGTCTATATACAAATGCCAGGAATATGGGAAACAAACAAGAATTCATTCAGGATGGTAAATATGATTTGCTAGGGATAACTGAAACTTGGTGAGATGACTCCCATAACTAAATACAGCAACTGAAGGATATAAATTGTTCAAAAAGAACAGAAAGAATAGAAGAGGAGGTGGAGTCAAGTTGTATGTCAAAAATTCACATTCCCGCACAGAAATATAGGAAAATAGGCATGGTTGTTCCACCAAGAACATCTGGATTAATATAATTGGGATGGAAAGCAAGAGGAACGTGGTAATTGGAATTTTCTACTGACTGCCTAATCAAGGAGAGGATGGGAATGAAACCTTTGAAAAACAAGTTGCAGCAATTTCAAATAGACATGATGTAGTAGTAATGGAAAATTTTAATTATCATTATATCTGTTGGGGGGCACATTCTGTCAAATATGGCCCTTATAAGAAATTCCTGGCTTGTGTAGCTGGTAATTTTCTCCTATAAAATCTGGAGGAAGAAACTGAGGATTAGTTATCGACTTGATTCTAACCAATATAGTTGACTTGGTGGAAGATGTGGTGGTAAGGGGAACTCCGGGGGAAAGTTACCATGCTTTACTTGAGTTCTTGATTTCAAAGGAAACAAAAGCAGAGTGTAGCGACATGCGTATGCTGAATTTTAGCAAAGCCAATTTTAATAAACTCAGAACAACCGTAAGTAAGATCCTATGGCAAGAGATCCTAACAGGAAAAGAAGTCCCAGGATAGATGTATGGGAATTTTTTAAAAAGGAAATTCTAAAGGCATAACTAAAAACAATTCCAACAAGAAAAAAATGTGGAAGACAGCAAAAAAGGCTAATGTGGCTTCACAAAAAGCTCAGAAAGCACCTGAAAATGAAAAAGGACACATATAGGAAGTGGAACTAAGGCCAGACCATAAAGAAAGTGTACAGACAAGTAGCAAAGAATTGCAGGGATGGAGTTAGGAAGGGAAAAGCTGAGAATACATTGAGTTAGCAAACTCAAAATGAACAAACATTCTTCAGGTACATGCATAGCAAAAGACAGAGAAAAGAAATAGTGGTTCAGCTACTCAGTGGGGATGGAGAAATAAAACATATGACAAAAAAAGGCAGAAGTGCTCAATTCCAGCTTTAGTCCAGTTTTTTTTTGCAAAAGACAATCTATGACCCTCCAGTTTGAGATTGATAAACAAATAGTAAAGGAGTACCTTATTACAGCCGTGCCCCACTTTACGATTACCCCATTTAACGACGAATCCTCTTGATGGTGAGGTTTTTGCGATTGCTTTTGCAATAGCAAAACGATGGTTTGAATAGGAAAAATCTGCTTTGCGCTGATTGGTTCCCTGCTTCGGGAACCGATTTTCGCTTTACGACGATCAAAAACAGCTGATCGTCGGGTTTCAAAATGGCCACCGGCTGAAGAAAATGCCCCCCCCCGCTGTGCTTAGGGATGGATTCCTCACTG